TTTTAGGCATGTCTGTTTTAGGCATGTCGTGCCATGTTTCGCATGTCATTTTCCGCTAGAATTTTCTGTCTTTCATTTGCGACATGAGCTTAGGCCTAAGACATTTTTAAATGGGTGTAAACAAGAGCCAAAGTCAAAGTCCGTCAAAATCCTACGATTCGTAGGATTTCAAAATAAATAAATAAATAAATTTAGGGTTAAATTTTTGAAAATCATACGATTTGTAGGATTTCTCGGTACTTGTGATCTTAGGTGCACAATTGACAATTAGTTGACGAAGCGAGTGAAAGAAAGAGATTTTCTCTCTGTTTGTCTTTTTTCAACAAATATTATACAGTTTTTATAATAAAAAAATCCTATTTTAGTTTTACATACATCTAATAAACTGATTCATATATATACAGCTTTTTCTTGCTTTTTTTAATAAAAGCATACATATTTCTTTGCGAAACAATACAACCAATAAAAAGTAAAAGCCGAATCTCCTCCGCGGCTCTGTCTCCGCCCTTCAGTCGTCACTCGTCACTACTAGTAAAAACGTTGTTTTTTTTAAATCATGTATATAAATAGATTATAGTTTTTCAGAGGATTGTCACTTAGAGTGTTGACTCATGAGTCATGACTGTTCAACTGTTGACACATGAGACTTGAAACCCACCTTGTAAATAAACCCAAAACTCAAACCTCAAAACTTGAAAATTGAAAATTGAAACTTGAAACTTGAAACTTGAAACGGTCACTTGAATTTCGAAATTTGAAACTTGAAACTTGAAACTTGGAAAATAGCTCATTTGTTTTGGAAAAAGATATTGAATTTTACTAGCCAAATATGGCAGTATGATACTTGCTAATCAAGCAAGAGTCCAATCATAATCATGATTTTCAATCCAAAACAAATTTAATTACCAAATAGTGTATATTTTTAAAAACCTAAAACATAAATAGAAATATCTAAATTCATATTTTGAAATTTGTGATTTGGCTTCTATTGTGGACTTTTTACGAATTTTGAAGAGATGACCAACAAGAAATCGATTTAGGGTTTTAGGGTTTTGGATTCGGATCGCGTGTACGTTTTTATAAAACCATGCGTTGTCTTCATTAGGAATTGGTTTGTCGACATGTGGAATGAATGTTTAAATAGTATTGCAGATTCTTACATCATGGCTGTTGGTTGTGCGTCAAGCTGGTCTCTGTCCTTATTCTAATTCTCTTCACACTTTCCAAGGGACATGTAAAGCTCAGGTATCAGTCCTCATCTACTACATAAGTATGGTTAGGATTCAAATTGTTTTGAGAGAGTACAAAACTAGAATTGAATAATATGTACAAATAGTACATGAAGTGACGTTTGTCAAATATACAGAATACAATGTATAATAAAGCTGGTTCTTGGTGTGTAGACGTGCAGTCGTGCACCCATGTGGTGGTGGGTGCCTGGTCACCCTGGTGCCAACTTTGAACTTTCCAGTTTTCTCACAGTTCTGTATTTTTTTTATAGAATAACGAAAGTCCAAGAAAATTAGAAAACGGCGGACTTTTGATACATTTTAGACGAATAGATTTGCTCTATTGTTGAAATAGTAATCAACTATTTTACTGATATAGTTCTCGTAGAGAGCTCAGCCCCCCCGCAGTGACCTGCACAATAAACAGCTAATAAAATTTTGGATTCATTTTTTTAGGACAGGCTATGTTCAGTTGTTCACAGAACTTCAGCGGCTCAGCCTCATAGTTACAATATGGCTTTGTATTGAATTCAAGGTCAGGCCGACTCCTCACAGTCAACGTTTTACTTGATTGAAGTTAAAACTTTTATTTGGGTTTCTGGCTTTTGGCTTGAAAAGAAAAAGAAAAACGTAAACTTATTGTTGAGGTTAGTCTCACATATTTAGTCTCAGAGACTCAGACTCCCACCTCAGGGCTCAGAGACTCTGACTACCAGTCAGTCCCAGACTCCCAGTCCCAGACTCCAGAGTCCAGGGCGTCCAGGCTCCCGCCAACATTTGTTATTTTTATATTTTATATCAAAAACAAAAACAATATACAAGTTTTGTTTTTATTTACTTACATATTTTGCCCAAAGATTGCGCAACATCTGTCACAACTGTTGTGTATAATTTGTATATATAAAAAATTCAAAAAAAAATAATTATAGAATATATGAATTCCCATATTTAGAAAAAGATTATGCAGATATTTCTGCCTTTGACTTTTTGTGACGGCTCTCTCTCTCTCTTTCTCTCACTAAATATTTAGTATAGTGCCATATAGTGGGGGCTACATAATACTAAATAATTAAAAAGACAAATAATAAATACGGTTCAAAACTTCAATACCCATTCTTGGTACAACCATGAGTCCATGAGAGACCTGAAAACTCTGATGAGTAAAACCATAGTCTTCTCAAAAAAAAGTAAAAACTCTTTGATTTGATTTTGGGACAATATAAATATGTGTGGAGCCGATTTGAGATTTGCAGCCTGCAAAATTTCACCCATGTATTTCAGAACTGAATTTTCGCCCCAAAATATTTTTGAAGCTGCGTCATCCTAATTCTGCTTACAGGTTACATCTGTATAGACTCTATAGTACCATGCTCATTTGAGCGGGTAGGCTGTGCATACTAGACGGGCAAGGTTGTCCTAAACGGGTGTTTTTATCTGTCGGGAGCCAACATTAGCGCAGCAGTCATTGTCTGCTTATCGCAATTATATATGAATCGCATAAAATCATGCAGCGACAGGTTCAGTAGGGCAATACATTTTTCAAGTTTACAATCCAGGCATGCAAGTCGTAAGAACGATCGCAGATTGTGATATAATACCAGACTTTAAAATATACGTGTATAGTGGTCAGACATTCGAGTGGGCGATCTGAGCGGCAACTAAAGTGATCATATTAGGGGATACAGTTAGAACCACAATAAGACGCAAAAGACAACAACGTTGCCATTTTCGGCGCCATTTTTATCATGGCCCACACATCACACGTGAAATACATCTCAAGTTGGTACAGCATTGAGTCGGCGTAGGCGACGATTGCTCCCTGAAAATTGATGTTTCGGATTTCCGTAACCAGTGACATTGTCACATATATTCAAGTAGTCTACGAGACCATATACTATTATATAACCAGCATTGGTGCGACGAAGCTTCAATTTTTGTACCAAATAATCCATAGGTACCCATGCAACGGCTCAATTTTGAGCCCTCCAGTGGTTCCGCACCATCAGCGGATATTCTATCACCAAAACATTCGGCACAAAGAATGCTGAGTGGTCCACATAGGCGTTCTCATGCAAATCCCAATCCATTTCCCCAACCTAAAGATGGTTCGAAATACTCTTCGCGTAGTAATGCTAGGGGGCATCTGTCGGAGGCATCACGTATGCGTGACTCACAGATGGATAGACAGGATATGCATGCACAAGATACTGAAAGAGCAATGAAACCTACACAACAACAACGAATGAGTAGTAATCCTGCATACACTAGCTCAGCGAAGAACAGGTACAACAATGACGCCCACAGGCCCGAGCCTCCACCGCCTCCCTCCTATTCAAGTACGTACCACGAGTACGATCGAAGTCAGCATGCGAGTGTGCCCGGCGCACAACGACCACGCACACAGCAGGTGGTCAAAACACCCATTGACGGCGACCACCAATGGGTATTCTATGGTCATGAAGGAGGAAATCAGCCGGTCAAGATACAACCACATCCTGCACCTCCACCCCTACCACCCCCACCCCCGCCGTCTCAGCAACTATCTACACAACCACCCCTTAGGCTCATCAGAGCTGCGATTAGCTCGAAAACGATTACTGACCGCGATGGTACTGGATCTGTTCGAAACGATACCCTTTCGTCGACTGGTTTAAGGGGAAAGAGTAGGCGGTCTCAGAAAAAAGGCCCAACTCAAACAGTCCAGAACAAGATGAAGATGTTCCAGTATCACTGGAAGATCGACAAACCAATGGTCAATTCGTTTCCCTTAACCGTAGCTCCCCACTCAAGCCAAGGTCAGGAATCAGTCCAAGGACGCTCTCATGCACAAAACCAACACCAAGAACAACTGAAATACGCAGCGACACATCTCCAGCCACACAGATCGCGATCACCGCACCCACGTACCGTTAGTAGAGGTGAACAGTTCATGAACGAGGCCAGTGAAACATACGATCAACCTGGTAGCACATTGGAGGTTGTACGTCCACGAGCGTCTATTTATACTCGTCCCGAGTCACCTTATGCGCGACCACCTGGCACATCTCACTCTACAACGAAACCGGTAGCCATACAACATCGTCTTAGGCCAGAGGACAACTCCGGCAACTACAGCACTAGCTTTTCAGATACTAATATTACGTACAAAGCGTCTCTGGAACACACAGATTATGAGAAAGAGCGCCCAACGGGCGGCACGGCAGTAAGGTTGGGAGCGTCTGCTCCAGAATACAAGCAAGGGCTTCACCCAAAGCTACTGATTAGGTATGCTTCGAGTAATGAGGGAGAAGATATATACCAAGACAAAGATAGGCCGCCTAGCCGGCATTCGAGCTCTGACTATATTGAAGGTGATGAGAGAGGGTCCAGGTCGGAGTACAATGCAGAATCGGATGTGAATCCAAATGCAAACGGGGATGAACCTATGACACCGCTGCAGATGTTGCTGATATCTGTGGATAGACAGTTGGTGATAGAGGGGCAGATGCTCGTCGAAGCATCTGACAGCGCCAAGTCCTGTCGCGGATCCAGATCAACGCACAGCAGCTTCAATCAAGAAGTACCGCCTGAAGTACCATCAGCAGTCCGAAATTCAGATGGAGTGAGCGATCGAGGCCCAATCGGCGGAGTTCCCAAAGTACGAGACAGGCGGACACCCACCGGCGCTCACAGGCACAGACGGGCTCCGTCGAGCAAATTGGCCACTACAGTGCCACACGAGGTGCTATTGCCCATCCAAAGTCAAAGTGAAGGAGAACAGAAGCGCAGTAGTGGGAGTGGCAGTGAAACGGACTCTATGTGATTTAATAGAAGTCCTAGAGAGTTTCGATCACTTACGCCTCGATAAGTAGGTGTTACACCTTATCTAGATTTGAACGAATATGTAGGATGCCTCAAATTTAAAGAATAGAGTTTACAAGTTTTAATGTACTTTGTTGATGATGATTGAGCTATACACGACCTCAAAGAATTGCCAAGTGCCAATAACGGTACTTATAATCCAGCGAACTCAACTAACAGATCTGAATATAAATGTTGCTACCTTGGGAATCTGATGCAACGGCGACTGACAAATTAACACTTCTAAGTTGGCTGCGAAAAAAAAAGACACCTAAGTAGGCTGAAAAGCTTGACACAGGCGCCATAGAATACCACATAGTTTGAAAATTGATATTTCTAATAGTCCGTATACCACGGTCGCTGTATTTATGTGTAGTTAGGCCAAACGACAATTCAAGAACCAGTCTGAGTTAGGTCAAACGATACAATTCAAGAACCAGTCCGATGTTTGATTTTTCCTAGATTCTGATTTCCAAGATCGCGGTACTTCACGGTATGGCACTGACGAAGACAAGGAACCAAGGGACGCCCCAGAATTGCAATTTATCAAACATTCTAGTCTGCAGAGTACTGCAAATAATCCACGATGTAGATGTGCAAATCGTCCTATGTTGCTGTAGTCGGGGAAGGCCGAATATATTTTAAGATTGATGCATACCTGTATTCAATTCTATAGGTAAAAGTAAACAAGACTGCAGTTAAAACTCGACAGCGTATCATATCATGTAACACGAATTTACAACTGCATATGTTACACGAATTCAAAACTTTGGAAGTAGACTCCCTGGGCAATGTATTTCTTCATTGTGCCTTTTCTTATCGTACCAAAGCCGTTCAAAACATACATACAGTCATTAACGTTTATACATAGAAAGTGCATAGCGCACCTCTTCACAAACAATGGCAAAACTCGCATAAAGTTCAAAACCTGTCTCGAGAAGGTTGCACATACTAGGTGTCAATAGAAGTTGGGCGACTCATTTTTCGTTCAATGGAAATTATATTATATAATTATCCACGTTATAATAAATTCAAGCGTCATTTGAACCTTCCATAGACTAAATAGTCAAACCAGAACATTTCCTTCAATAGCGGATTTTCGAACAAAGCTGATACTAATGACGAGCACTCTATCGGTCTTTGACGTGCTTTTTCTAAACATTGTTCATAGAAAAGTCTGGTACTACAATTCTAGCTATGAATTCATTCAGAACCACGTTGACGTATACGTTTAGAAAACAACATAACATACGAGCAAGTCATGTACGCACCGTTATCGGAGATGTAGTCCACCACTCCAAACTACAAAATACGCAGTCGTATATTCTTCAACTTCAAGCCTGATTCTGCACCGAGTATACTATAAAAGCACAACACACTCCAATTGAGGTCTAAGAGACGGGCGAACAATTAAAATAACTATCAGTGTGTAATATTAGTGACAACGTCATGGTAATTCAAGCCATCATAGCCTTCTGGACATTGAATTTTTTGAACGCTATGACTGCATGTATAGAAATACAATATATATTGTAAATACCTATAGCCCTCTTGTCAATTTAGAGGGTTATGTCTTACATATGATATGTAAAATACACTAAGTATGTTCTTTTTATAAAGCCATGGCCTTCTTCTAAATAGATCAGTAAATATTTACCACCTAAAGTGCGTACTTATTTTGTCTATATTTACAGCAGCTTTTAAAACCGCCACTTTTTGTTTTTATTACGAGTCTATGTACTCTCTCTAGGAGAGAGAGAGAGAGGACTCTGAGGAGTCACTCTCGTAGTATTTAGTAGTATGTAGGACTCACTCAACTACTAGCAGTGGGGCACACAACCAAGAACCGGGGTCTTCCGGTGAAACTTCACAGCATCACCCGCCTCTCTGAGAGAGAGAGAGACAGGAGAGACTGAGCGAGTAAATAGAGGGTATACAGTATACTATTTACATATTTAGTATTCCCGAAAATAATTGTTGTGAAAAATGACGAGTCATAGTGCCATAGTGGCTTCACAGTTCACACCTCTGGGCTCTGGCAGTGGCTTGTGTCCAATGACTCAGATTTCGCGTCATCACCTTTGCTATATTTTTTTATAAAAAAATACAAAACCCTGCCGCTATATTACATGTCTATTTATTTATGGGATGTTTTGCATGGAGCGAGGGATCAAATATCTATATAAGTAGCGATCGGATCACTCAACACTTTAACAAGTTAAGTGTTATCAACTGATATACTACTACTACTTCTGTTGCTACTACTAGTACGACTTCTACTACCAAAACTACTAATACTACTACCACTACTATTATTATTGTTATTACTAATACATTGCAAATAGTTAATAGGCCAACTTATATATATCAAGCATGTATACTGTTAAAGTAGCCCTAGACGATGACGTACGCCGTATCCGTGCAAATAGCTGGGCAGACTTAGACGCTCAAGTGAAGGACCGTTTTCAAATAGCCGGTTTTGTCGCGAAGTACACCGACGAAGAGGGTGATATGGTAAAAATTTCCAGTGAGAGTGAACTGGAGGACGCCAGTACCAGTAAGACAGGTGAGACTCTCCGTTTGTTTATCACAAGCGCCACTGATAGAGACGATAAAGAGAAGGCTGCTTACGAAACCGAGAAGCATATCGATGCTAATAGTTACGTCAGTGTTGATCTGCCTGCGTCTGAAAGCATCGAAAAGAATTCTGGCTACACAAGCCCCGTGCCTCGGCCCACCCCACGCATGGCACCTCCACCTCTATCGCTGAGACCAGCTGACGATGATAAACAAGCGTCAGAATATACTACCAATGCACATCTCAAGTACAACAATATCGAAGACCAGGCATTTAAACCTCAGCGCGTGCCTGTGCCTGGCCCTGTGCCTGTTCCACCACACAGTATGGCTAACTCAAAAGAGAGTGCTAGTGTTCCTACTGCTGAGAAGGGAAACACACCCACTCCCACCCCAGGGCCCAAGCCAACACGAACTACGAGTGGCACTCAGCACACAGACCGTGATAGTGCCCACACATCTGCGAACACCAGCAGAACTGATCGAACAACCAGCAATGATACCACAAATACCACGACTGGTGAGGATCAGCCTAATCTGTACAATCTAGGTGTAGAGTTTATGAACTGCTTAGGCGTCGATTTAAATGCTATGGGTGCAGGGTTTGGCATGAATGGACCCAACACAAACACACAGCAGCGACAGGTCGACTTCACAGCCGATGCAAACGGTGCGAATACCACTCAGAATGCGCCGGACTTCGCTAGAGCGGCTGGCACGTTTGTGGAGGCTTTGCCCATGATGATGAACGCGTTTAATACGACTATGCAGTCTATGAATGCTAGCGCAAATGCAAATGCGCCTAACAATGACGCTACGTATACGGGATCGCACGCCAATTCAAATCCAACTGGCAATGCGTATTCGAACTCAAACGTGAACAATCGAGCCCCACAGATGCCCACGGCTGCTGACATGGCGGCTTTGGCACAGCTGTTTGGTGTGCGACGCTACGAGTAGGCATGAGGCGGTGTTGTAGTAGAATTGGTTGCTCCTTTGATATGCGCATTGTGAAGTGAGGAACCATCTAAGTGCTACCTCTGGATATAATTGTATCGTGTTGAGTTATATATTAGAGATATACCATCCGATACAATATTATTAAAATTTGGATATATACAATATGTTGAGGTGATATTTAGATGATAATAAATAAAAGGATCGATGCAAAAATGAGTTTTAAGTTAAAGTAGAGCATCATTTGGAGGGAAGAGAGGTGTGCAATTAGAAGCACGTAGCAATATAAGGTCACATCACTTTATCATTTACTGACGCGTTTACCCGAGGACATCAATACATTCAAGGAAATTACGGACTTGAATATTTTTGATCTCGTAAAATATGTACAGGATTTATCGTTTTGATAAAAACTTATGGTGGTTCATTTCACGATTCCTTTATATATATATATTATATGTACTAACTAAATTTAATCTTGTTCCCTGGAGCATTATACAGGCAATTCGCGGATTCCTAACGCCTTGTCGATCATCTGCGGAAGTTGCAATAAATAATTCGTTGAAATACACACAGACTTACAAGGTTAAATACATGAGCATGATCCTCCCGTGAGCGTCCTGCGCACGAAACCTCACTCAGGCGTTCACAAAAAGTCGAAAGAAAACACGGAGGATGTCAAATGGCAAAAAAAAAAGGGAATCAAGCGCATGTGACTTTCCGGCTTGCATTCGATGAGAATATTGAAATTGTGTCCTAACGTTTAGAAAAGTATTGGTCTAATGCAAATCTTTGTCTGTATATAGAGCCGACCCTCTTCTGGCATGTGCACAAGCAGTCTGAACATTGATACCACAGTACGTATATACGCTTACATCCGATATTCCAGGCATGTTGAGTATATTTCCAATTATGGGTAGCCGCCTCAGGAAGGTGACGATTGTGGGGAAGAAATCACTGCAAAGTGAGGAGGCGTAGATGCGTAAGAGAGTTTGATAAAATTGCAAGCAACCCCATGGTGGTTGCATTTAAGCTAGATTCAGGAAAGTTGTGATGAGTTGGATATCATCGACCCAGTAAGGTGCCAAAACAGCAAGCTTCGATAACTAGTGTGCACTATCAAAGCGACTATCCTAGGTTGGATAGTAAAATAGTGCAGAAGATTGACATACCCGAATAAGTTGATGAACCCGAAAAACTCTATCGCCATTCCGAACACCGGATATCCTATAAGTACTAGCATGATACCACCGAGAAATGTGACGGCGCCTTTTAACTTCGCCGGTCTGAAGAAGAACTGGATGGTCTTGTTGATACCAATTAGTGCTATAACTCCTGCTAAGAACATTACCTGGTAGAATACAGTGCATATAATGTGAGTTGAGATACGGGAACACAAAACGATTCTTTAAGCCGTTTTCGCACATATACATATACGAGCACATCGAGAATCAAACGTGCTCGCATATATAGAGGACATGCTATAAAGTCTATCACCCAAACCTTCCTTTCCCAAGTAGACGTTGGAAACGAAGCCGTCATATGACATGTTACAAAGGCAACACCCAAACTCCTCCCGTATCATATCGACGCTAAAATGAAGCCCGCATTTTCTATTTATAATAGTATCCTGAATATTGAGGTTGAGCCACAGATTAGGGAGATATTGCAAGTCGACCTATTAAATTTTGACACCTTTGCTACAAACTTTCCCCGCGCTCCCCTCCCCCGGACAAAAAACTCGCACGCTTTCAAATGCGATTCAATGAGTTTAATCTAAGCCATGGAAACAGCGTCCTGATATAGGATTAACTAGAAGCACCATCTCGCGGATAAGTACAACGTGATTTCTCCACATACACAGCTTCCTTTCAGACAGACAAGCTTATATGCACATACTAGTATCCGGCAAACTAATAGGCAGAATTCAACTAGGTGCAATCAAATTGTGCTATCAACAGTCTACAAAATATACATGACAAAGTTAGATTTTCACGCCGCGTGAATGTGTATGATTCCCTTCATACGTACATTGCCCATCGCCAGAAGTGCCCTATCGAACATCATCAGCATTCCCAGCATTAGAAACAGGGAGCCGAACCCCGTAAGGCCAATGCCGATTTCTGTGGAATACATTGGCATCAAATATAAAACTTAGGACTGTACAGACAGAAAGATGTGTGGGGATGACACACATCGCGGGTAATGGTTTGCAATCGATTGTTGGCCAATTATGACGTTTGTGCACGTGACTTTAAGTCTTTTGTTTATAGGAAATACGAATGTCTAAGTCCGAAAATATATGTCGTACATCTTGTGAGCACCTCAATATTACAGTTTAGTACCGAAGGCAATAGGATGAAACCCTATAAACAACTGGTATTAAGTTAATCAATGTGCGACATAGCTCATACTTCCCACCCATCATTGTTTCAGAACTCAAAAATAATCATTGCAAAGCACCAACTAGAGCTATACGCATCAATATCGTCGAGAGAGCTTCAGAGTACCCCAGATACAACCGCAAAGTAATATATACGGGACGTATTCCGGTAGCAACAAACTACATACAGATTAAAATAGATACACAGACCCGCGTAAAT